GGCAGGCAGCTGCACCGTAGTAACCTGCTGCAGCCTTCGAAGGTCGCAGCTCCAGAACGGGCTGGTGCTTGGATCAATGGCCGAGCTGAAGACCAAGCGGCCCATGTAATTCAGAGGCCGCTGATCTCTCTGATCCGTCTTGTTCCCAAACAGGATGGAGAAGTTCCAGTCGAGGTTGTGGTTTCCGGATTTCGGCAGGTTCTCCATCAAGGTTTTCTCCTGGCTGCTAAATTAATGACGAAACCCTAAACCCTATAAAGTCTGTCGCTGGATTTTCAGTCCTGGCCTCAAGGTGCAACTTTCCACGGCCATAGCTGAACGTGGGCGACAAAACCATCGCCATGCCCTGGAGCTGGTCATGCAGGGCCCAGGCCAAGGTCTGCATGTAGGCTGAGGAGATCCCGACAGAGACCAGGGAGGGAGCCGACGAATTGAGCCAGAGCAAGGTCGCCACATCCTTGCTATCCGTGGAAAGGCCCAGCTTGCCCAAGATGGTCAACCGCCTGAAGTCCATGATGCTAGCAATGGCAGACTCGGGCTTCGTCGGATCCCAGACCTCCAGCCTCAGGCAGGACTTGCAGCACAAGTCTGCCGCAGCACTGCATTTAGTCCGCTGGCTCAACTTCCAAGCGTGCTCCTGCTGCTCCCTCTCGTTCTTGAGATTGTTGACCTTCTTCATCCAGGCGGAGAAGACCTGCTGGTCGTACTGGCACTGCTTCAGGACCAAGGCCACCTTGTCAATCGTGAGGGCGTCCTCCTCGATCTTGCTAGCGGCCACGGGCCGGGCAAAGACCTGCTCATCCAGGAGCCTCCGGAAGGTCGCCATGTTGCGGATGTCGAAGCTCTCGGACTTGTCCAGCAAGGCCACCTCGAGTTCCTGAGCCACTCCAGGGCAGCCATCAGCGAAAGGTTTCAGAAACTCTTCCTGCAGCTTCTCCTCGGAGATAGGGGCCAACTTCAGAAGCTCCTGCACAAGGTTGACGGCACAAGCAGCCATGGCCGAAACCTCGTCCACACCAGCAATATCTGGCTTCTTCCGCTGGTACTCGGGCAAGCGGATGTGGCACTGCTGCAGTCTGCGGACAGCCAGAGCCATGGACTCCTCGGTCGTGCGGAGCCTCTGCTGCCACAACTTGCTGCGGGCCGGGAACTGGTGCTTGGGGTACAGCTTCTTCGTGGACAAGTTGTCGTCGTGCCACACCGAGTTGTCCCACCCAAGGGTCTGGACGTGATCCAGGATGTCGTCCAGGACCACCTGTGAGCGGAGATATTTCTTAAACTCCCCTAAAGTGACAGCGGAAGTCATCATGGCCTGGCCTTGGGGGCAGCCTCAAACAAGAGCTTGAGCGTGGACTGCCTTTTCCCGCTAATTTGGAAAGCTCGTGCAGACATGGCATTCCACTGCTTCACGAGTGCCATCGGGTCTGGCACACCGACGGTCGCGAGGGACTTCAGCATAAAGACAGTCTGCACCGTGTTCGTGGCCTTCCGAACGGAGCCCTTGCAGGAAATCTTCATGTTCGTCAAAGCCTCATTCATGCGACTTGTTGTCTTGACATGATGCACACGAATACGAAGCACAGAGTCCCAGAGGGCCGGGAACTGCTGCTCCGGATTCACATGTCTTTTCTTCATGAAATGAAGCAAGCAAAGGAGGCTTGTGGCACGGGCTAAGCCTTTGAGGTAGCCCAAGCTGAAGGTCTTCAACCCGCCATTTTCAAGTTCCGGCAGCTTCTCAGAGATTCCGGGTGTGGTGTTCTGCAGCACCATCAATGGCTCTGCTGCCGTTGTGAACCCTTCCGTCAAGTAGAGGTTGCACAAGGTCAACATGAGATCTAGCCCACAGGGAGGTTTGAGGCTGCAGTCCCTCGTAAATCCCAAGGCAGAGACATGGACAGTCAGCGGCAAAACATCCGACATCTCTTTCTCCTCCACGAGCGGCAGGGTCTTCTCGTCGTGCGAGTAGTGAATGTCCTCCCTCAAGGGAAAGCAGTCGTGCAGCCACTGTCGGAATCCTGCAGCATCGCAGTGCTTTTCCAGGTACTGCACCGGGCCGCCACCAGATCTGCGAACCTCTGTCTTGAGCTCCTGCAGGAGGGCTTGGATGCCTTTGCTGTCTGGAGCAGCATCATCCTCGTCATTCACGACTACAACCTGCGTCTCAGCATCCTGGGCCTTTGCTCCCAAGAAGGCCTGGTCCAGGCATTGGCGCTTCAAGCCCTCGGACCTGCAGGTCTTCACTTGATTCTCCGGCGTTTCTTGATCCACATCCATGGTCGTGGCCCGTGGCTCCGGCGTGAGAGCGGTGGCTGGGGATGCTTCCATTTGCGGAGAGAGGCAGCGGCAGGGCCAGGCTGTGGGCTACTCGCAGGCTGTCGACTGGAGCAAAATGCTTCTGGGCAGAAGCTTCGTTTCTGAGGCTCAGCTGCAATCACTACACTCAGGCAGAGTTCGCATGATTTCAACTGAACTAGCGCGTTCTCGGCCTTCGAGCGGAGGACGAAAGAGGCGACGAGTACAAATCGCGCGAACTCGGCCTCGAAATTTTCAAGGCCAGCTTCGCATGGTTTCAACTGAACCAGTGCGTTCTCCGGGCGTCTGGAGCATTCCACGCGAACTCGGCTTCGAAATTTTCAAGGCCGAGTTAACACGGTTCTCGATTTACAGGCCAGCTTGGCATGGTTTCAACTGAACTAGCGCGTTCTCGACCTCGAAATTTTCGACGTCGAGTTAGCACGGTTTTCATTTTTAGGGGTGTCGCGGGCCTCTCAGAGTTCGCATGGGTTCAACTGAACCAGCGCGTTCTCGGCCGGAGAAAAATCCCCCCCTACCCGAGTTAGCACGGTTTTAAGCGAAATCGGCGGCAGCAGAGCCCCTAAACCCTAAACCCTAAACCCTAAAACCTAGACCCTAAACCCTAAACCGTCAGTGAAAAGTTCCCTAAACCCTCAGCTTCAGCAGCAGCAAGACTCCCTAAAGGACCTTCAGCTTGAGCAAAGATACTCTGGCAGCAGAGCCCCTCCACCTCAGACTCACTGGCAGTGCCAGCAGCGAAAAGTTCCCTCAACCCTCAGCTTCAGCAGCGAGACTCCCTAAAGGACCTTCAGCTTCAGCAAAGATACTCTCATTGGACCTCAGAGCCTCAGACTCAGCCCCTTGGCAGTCCAGCGGCAGTGCCAGCAGCGAAAAGCTCTCTAAACCCTCAGCTTCAGCAGGGAGACTCCCCCTAAACGACCTTCAGCTTCAGCAAAGAAAGTCTTAGAAGCNNAGAGGCTTAAGGAACTGGCAGCTTTCGAACACAGTCACTCAAAGCATGCATGCACTTCTCTTCCCCAAAAGCAAACCCCTGCTGTACTCTCAGACTGCACCTTGGCAGCTTCTAGAGCTGAATCCCCCTACAGACTTCCCTTGCCGCCAGCCAGCTGGTGTAGCTTGAGGCCAAATCGAAGTTGTGTCAACAGTCTCAGCACACGACGGGATGTGCAGGCTTCTTTTTCCCAAACTCTTTTGGGAACGAACCAGCTCGAGCTCTTGGGTAGCAGTTCGGTGAGGAAGGCGGTAGAAAGCCAGGGGAAGTTTCCGAGCTGAAACTCCACCCAGAGCTGTCTTTTGCACTTACGACACTCGCGGGATTTCTGCACAGTCTCCAGGGCTTGCTGAAGAACCTCGTCCAGGAGCTCCGTTTCCTGGGCTGTCTGCACAGTCTCCTCCACGACCTCCTTGAGCTGAACGGCATTGTCGCCCTCGTCTGCCATGGCTTCAATCCCTTGAAGGCGAGCGGCAGGCTTCAGTTTGCAAAACCCTGCAGCAGATACGACATCTGGTGCTAAACTGCATTCCTGCGAGGCTCAGGACTTGCTACTCGGTAGACACTTACTTGACTGATTGGCTGGCATCATGTTGCAAGGGGCCTAGCCAGTCTGCAACTGGCCAGGCCCCTGAAGTGCAAGCCTTTGCATTTCTTGACTCATATTGGCTCCAGCAGTGCGAGGCAAGTCTGGGACCTGCTATTCCAGGTAAAACTACAATTCCTGTACAAGCACTTAATTATTGCCCCGGCGACTTCGGATAGTCTTCCTCACCTGCCTCGGCAGTCGAGAGTTCCGAGTCTGCTTCCGCTTCATCTGGAGAAGGAACCAACCTGAAGTTCGGAAACAGGGAGGGTGCGACTTGCATTCACTTACCCAAAACACAAAAATTGGGATCAAGGTCCACCAAGCGGCGGGCTCGCTTGGCATACCATCGCTTGACTTGCCAATGGCTGTAGCCAGGCCAGGTTGAACTCTCTCGCCACCAGGCTTCTTCAGCTTCAGGCTCGTGAGCAGCCAGCATCATCATGTCGACATCCTCATGTTCCATGGCAGCCATTGCTAGCAAGCAAGGGTTCGGGCAATGGGAAAAGAACTTGAGCCCCAAGTAACACGTGGACAGTTTCAACTATTTCTGAACTTCCCAATGGCTCTAGCCATGCCAAGTTGAGCTCTCCCGTATCAAACATGTAAAGCCGATCTCAACTCTTGAAGCTCCGAGGCTCTGGGCTCAAGACTCTGGGCCTCATCGAGCGACAACAACGAATTTTTTCTCAAGCCTCTGATTTATTGTTGTCCCAAAATCAGAGTTTCAGCATCAGAGTTGTTGTCTCTGTCCTGCTCGTTCTCGTCCAGATCCTCCTGAATGGCAGCTCGAGCTTGGTGTTGTAGGAAAGTCTCGTACAGAACCAGCAAGCTTGCCACGAACTCTCCCCAGCTCACTGTCACCTCCCCTTGACGACTCTTGCATGGCTTTGGAGGCGAATAGTCAAGCACCTCAGACTTCCTCTTTGGAGGAGTGCGGAACTCCGAGGGCATGGCGGCTTGGGGACCTACGATCTGTGATCTCGAGCAGCAAAATTAATTTCTTGAGCACAGGCATGATGGCAGTCAGACTCAGCAATGTGCTCTGTGCGTGTGGCACAGGTGGGACTGGGTCAGAGTAATCAGTCAAAGGATCATAAACTGACAGCTACTTACTGCTGCAGCTGCATCGCTGAACGACGGACGAGCCAAAATCGCGACTTCTTGTTTTGCTGCCCAGCCGCCATGACTCAAGCCTGTGGGCCTCGTTGAGTGGATTCA